CCCCCCCCCCCCCCCCCCAAACAAAAGGAGAGAAAAAAAAGATAAAAGAAGACACCTGCACTTGTTTGACTACAGCTTACCAAATGAAATTCAGATGTTAACATTTATAAAACTTTTGTTAGAGCAGCTGTTTTCAGATAATTTTTTTCTTTTATTTTCTTTCTTTCTGCTACTTTCATCCAAATTAACTTCTTTCTGATAATTTCAGTTTGTTATGCTTCTTTCAGTCTTTTTCAGCTATTTTCAGCTTTTTCTGCTATTTCAGCTACCATTTAGCTGTTTTTTCTGAAAATCTTAACTTTTTCAACTAGTTCCACATTTTTTAGCTCATTTCAGCTCTTTCCACTTTCTTCTGTTAGGCTAAGCTTCTTTCTTCCTTTTTGGCTACTTTTTAAAGATTTTTTTGTGCTAATTTTAGCTTTTTTTATTTATTTATCTGATTTCCTAATTTTTGTGCTTAATTAAACCTAATTCAGCAAAAATGTATTTCTGCTAATTTAGGCTTGTTCTTTCATTTCAGCTACATTTCAGCATGTTTTTTAGCTAGTGTCAGCCGTTTTTCAGCAAGTTCTTTTGCGATAAGCATTCACACTGCATTTCCAGATGAAATGCAATTTCTGTAGTTTACTTCACTGTTGCTAGGTGTTTTCATGTTGCTTTTGTCTCCACCAGTGGAAGCGATCTCCTGTTCATTGTAGACATGAACTGGCTTCACTATTACTACAGCTTTATTTTACACAAAACAATAATGGTGAAATCCTTATCTCATAAAGCGAATACAAAAAAAAAATGTTTCAGTTCTGTGTGTTTTTTCTTACCTTTATGTAACTACATAGACCTTTTTTAAAGCTACATATGAGCTGAGGTTTGGTTTTTGTCTTGCAGCGAGCCAAACCTCCTGGTGCGAGCCTGTAACCAACTTGGTCAGTTCCTGCAGCACAGAGAAACTAACCTGCGCTACCTAGCTCTGGAAAGCATGTGCACCTTAGCCAGTTCTGAGTTTTCACACGAAGCTGTGAAGACCCACATTGAGACTGTCATCAATGCCCTCAAGGTGGTGCCTTAACTTTTAACTATGAGAAATTATTATTTGCATAAAAACAAACTGCTTGTATTTATATCATATGGAGAATAAAAAGTGTGCCTGTCATCTTTTTACTTTTTGCTCATCTGTTTTTTCAGACTGAAAGAGACGTGAGTGTTCGACAGCGGGCAGCTGACCTGCTGTATGCCATGTGTGACCGCAGCAATGCCAAGCAGATTGTAGCAGAGATGCTAAGCTACCTGGAGACAGCAGACTACTCTATCAGAGAGGAGATGGTGGGTGTGCCTAACAAATTATTAGGGATTAGATTTGGCTTCTGACACGTTAATCTTTTTACAAAACTGAGAACACATTAAAAGTCAAGAGTCACAGTCACAGTAGATGAGATTTAAAAATTAAAAACTGACAGACGTGTAGTGCTTTTTCATTTTCATAACTTCATTCTCCAAACTTTAATAGTGGTTCAAGCAAAAGCTCCTCTTAACATTTACATTATTATTAACTGAGCGTTGCACAATTTCAAAAGCATCCGTAATGTGGGGGTGGACACAATGCGTGCGTGCGTGCGTGTGTGTGTGTGCGTGCACACGCGCATGAATTGTACACCAATGTACAAATAAAAACGTTGGTTACGTACTGTAACCCCAGATTCTATGAATATAGGCGTAGCCCTTTAAGGCTGTTGCTGATGGGTTAAGGGCAAAGCGGATGTGGTCCTCGCCTCACTGGGTCCATTCGAACACCGTATGAAGCGGAAGCTTGCCCAAAAAACGTCTTGTCACTCAGCTCCCCATGTACGTAATTACGCATTGCTTAATTATGCGTACCTTGCACAAACACATGCTGTGTAACTATGCATTCTGAAATGCATGAACGCCCCGGAAAACTTCCAACGGGGAGGGAAGATGTTGAAAAAGGAGGGCCATGAACCAACTGATTCACGACTGAACAGTATGAACAGATTAATAATAAGTGAACTGATTATAATCAAATGAACTGATTGGTAACAGAAGTCATGAACTGATTAGTGACAATAGAACCAAATAACAGTCATAACTTGCGACTGATAACATCTCACACTGTAAAGCATGCAGTCAGATGTGAGTTTAAACGGGGTTCCATGAAAACAATAATATTCATTCTGTTGGAGCATTAAGGACAGAATGTGTCATGGAACGAACTGTCACATCACGTAAATAGAAATTAATAAATGAGCTTGGTGTTGACCATGCAGCCGCAGAGCAAATGTCCTGCATTGTCATACCATTATGCAATGCAGTCGAAGATGCAATACCCCTGGTCGAGTGTGCTCTGAGGTTGACAGGAGGCTCTAAATCTGATGCTCTGTAGGCCTCAGAAATGGCCTCACACAGCCAGTGTGACAGGCGCTGGGTGGATAACGGGCGGCCTGCAGATGCATCTCTATAATGCACAAACAAATGTTGAGTTTGACGCATTGCAGCTGTGCGTGCTATGTAACACGTCAATGCCCGCACCGGACAGAGAAGATGGAAAGACGCTTCTTCTGATTTGTGGGGGGGAGGGAAAAACCCTTCCAACGATATCGCTCTTGATTTAAAAGAGCTCGTGATGTTTTTAGGCATAAAAGCTGGGTTTGGTCTTAGATCAGCTGAGCTGCCGTCAGCCTGAATTCTGAGACATGACGGAGCGACAGAGAGGGCAGATAAATCACTCTCTCTTAGCCAATGTCAAAGCCAGCAGCAGGGCTGTTTTAAGAGACAAGAATTTAATCGAAACCTGATTCATTGGCTCAAATGGAGCTTTGATCAGAGTCCGCAGGACCAGCGTTAAATCCCACTTTGGAGCAAGTGGCCGTAAAACAGGCCTGCGTCTTTGTACACCTTTTAAATAACGCTTCATCAGCAGATGATTTAAAGCTGTTCTGTCTCCGAACCCTTCGTGACAAGAAGAGATGGCTGCAGCGTACGTTTTAATCGTGCTGAATGCCAGATTTCTGTCCATCAGCTGTTGCAGAAAAGACAGCACGTCGCCTAGTGGACATGAGGTGGCCTCTACACCTTTTTCTGTACACCAGCGCTGAAAAGCTGTCCTCTTTGATATATACAGCGCTGTGGTGGATGCAGCACATGAATCCTAGATTGTGCGCACTACATCTTGCGGGAGACCTATCCTTTCTAAGCGGATCTGCTCAGCGGCCGAACCAAAGGTGCTGGCCTATTTCTGGGTAACTCCTGATCGCTCCTCCCACCTGGACGAGAGCGTCCTCCCTCCACGGCAGTTTCCACGGCGCCCCGATAACAGGCGTCATAGAACTGGGAACCATGACGCGTTCACGCTCTCGGGAGTCACCAGGAGAGCTGTCAATCCCTCCTTCTGAACTCTGTTCAAAAACCGTAATATCAGAGGAGGTGGGGGAACGCGTTAAGAAGCGGTTTGGGCCATGGGCTGTGAGCAAACGCAGTGGTTCGTCTCACGGGGTCAGTGAAAACCATAATTGACACTGAGCGTTTTCTCGTGTCGCAAACATATCCACAGCCGCTTTACCAAATTTCTGCCACGTCTGGGCCATCAGATCGGGGTGGAGGGTCCAGTCCCCGTGACTCAGACCGCCCCTGGACATCACATCTGCCCCTTTGTTCAGAACTCCGGGGATGTACACTGCTCTGATGGAGAACAGATTTTGGTGTGCCCAACACAGTAGTTTTCACGCAATGTGTAACATCTGGGCTGAGCGCACACACCCCTGCCGGTTTATGTACGCAACAGTCTACTTGTCTGTGTGAATCAAAACGTGTTGATTCTGCAACACAGGAGCAAAGTGTTGAATCACGTTCAAAACCGTGCGACACTCAAAAACATTTATGTGGGCTGATGTGTGATGGGGCCACAATGCTCCTACAGCTTGAGATAGGCATGCCCCTCCCCCCCCCAACCTGACAGCGACGTGTCTGTGAAGACTGATGTGTGACGTGGGTCTGCTGACGGGGGCTCCCTCCGACAGAACCAAGGTGTTTCCCCAGTGTCGGAGGTCTGCCCTCACGGAGGGAGGAACAGTGATCATCCGTCTCTTTTGTTTTACTGGATCCACACGCAGATGCACAAACCACCTCTGGAGGCGTCTCATGTGTAATAAACCCAGCGAGACCACTGTGTGAGCTGATGACATCATTCCTAACAGCTTCATGACGGAGACAGCTGTTACCACTCTGCCAGGTCTTACGTGGCGGAGCTGGTCTTTTGAAGTGTCGATTCTCGTTTGTGATAAACGAGCCCGCATGGTGGTCGAGTTTAGCTCCACTCCCAGATAAACAATCATCTGGGCCGGAAGAATCGAGCTTTTCTTCCAATTTATGGCGAAGCCCAGATTTAACAGGTGTGATGTCAACACCTGAGCCTGCATTGCTCCTGTCTGCAGCGTGACAGCAGCAGCAGGTCATCCAGGTAAAACAAACTCTTATCCCTGCTCTGTGTAACGGTTGCAGGGCCGTCTCCACACACTTTGAGAATGTACAAGGTGCAAGGGAATACCCGAACGGCAGCCTGTTGTACTGATATTTCATCCCTTGAAAGGAGAAGTGCAGAAATTTTCTGTGTTTTGGGATGATCAGTATGTGGAAGTAGGCGTCTTTCAGGTCGATGGAAACAAACCAGTCGTTTCTCTGGATGTTGTCCAACAGCTGTCTGGTTGTCAACATGTGAAACGGTCTGTCCATGATCGCCTTGTTGAAAACTGACAGGTCCAAAATGGGGGGTCTCGTGCCTTCGGTCTGTTTGGGAACCAGGAAGTAACGTGAGTAAAACCATGTTTTCGTCTCCGTCGAGAACCCTGGAGATCACCTCTTATACCTGAAGTTCTTGGACTTCTGCATTTAGGAATGAGATTTGGTCTGGTGATGACATGGCCGTCTCTAAAATTCCTCCGAACGGAGGGGGTTGGGTTGCAAATTGCAACGTGTAGCCCCTGCTTAACAGCCTGGTCATCCATCTGTCTGGCGAGCATGTTTTTAGCCACTCCGCGTAACGTTCGTGAAGTGGACGCGTGTTTAAGTGATGCGTCAGGTTTTGTACGGATGTCATCCTGTCCACTGCCTCGACCGCCATCATGTGTTGCGGGAATGTGTTCCGCGTGACCCAAGGCGAGGCTTCCTCGAAAGGGCTCTGAACGCACCTGTGTGCTGCGTTCGGACCGCAAATCCACCTTCATGTCTAGGTGGGCCGGCGTGTGTTGAGGAGAAGCGTGTGACAACTGATGACGCCGCGGGGGTGCACGTTTAACACCACTGCGGTGAAGCGCGTGTCGCTCCAGCCGCGAGTGGGGTCCTGCGCTGGGTTCGCTTTGCGATCTCGCATCTATGCTGACATGAGCAGACAAACGCTGAGAAGCGGTGAGTGTGACTTCATCTACGCCGTGCCGTTTGAGTGAAGGCTGCGAGCCCCGCGGGAGCACACGTTTTCTTTGGTGGGAAGCGCGCCGCTCTCGCTGGGGGGCAAGATTCGTCACTGGGTTCGCTCAGCTGTCTCACGCTTATGCTGACATGAGCGGCCGAGTGCTGAGGAGTGGTGAGTGAAGGCTGCTCGCGCCGCGGAGGCGCGCGTTTTCTTCGGTGCGGCGCGAGTCGCTCTCGCTGAGAGCGAGGTCCTTCACCGTACCCATCCTGCGGTCCCACATTTATACCGATGTGAGCCGGTGAATGCCGGGGAGCTGTGTACACCATCATCAACGCAACACCGTTTGGGTGAAGGCTGTTCACGTTGCGCGAGTGCGCGTTTGACACCGCTTAGGTGAGGATTGTGCAGCTCAGGCTGAAAACGAGTTATTTCGCTCACCACTGTTGTCATGTGAGCGTCTCTTCTCGTTTTGGAGCAACAGTGATTTTGAAAAACCTTTTTTTTTTTAAGGACACCGGCTCATTTTGTGTGGAGGATGTATGCGCAGCCGCTGTGAGTTCATCGGAGCTTACAGACTGGCTAAAAACAGATACTTTAATCATTTAAGGATGTTTTATTTCAACACTTGTCATTTTTTCACACACCCTCCACAGACTGTCATTTCTTGAATCTTTTCCCCCGTGAGCTCTGCGATTTTTTGGCACAGAGTGCTGCCTGCTGACGATCTCTGGGAAAACGCTGAACTGCTGGTTGCCGGGATGAAGAGGGCTGGTCTCTGACGGGTGGGGCTGGTGGTGGAGCTGAGTGAGATGACGCGGCCGTGGAACGTCGTTTCTGCCTCTGCTCACAACGATCTCTCCAGCGGGCCAGGGGGTGGGATGAGCCACGCGGCTTGATGAGGTGG